TTTATCCGCTGTTTATGCAGACCTGTGGAGACGCCGCTGATGGAATCAATTCTTCTAAAGATGAACAAAGCAGGAAATAGTTTTTCAACATTAGTCCTTTAATCCTGCAGATGTTTTTCAGGTGATAGAAGGCCAGATTTGTTCCCGTATCTATGAGCCTCTGGAGTTTCAGGTCTGAGTCCATCACTGCACCCAGATTTAGAGCCTGGTTGCTGCTTTCTAGCTGGATTAGCTGAATGCTAACTTTTAAACGCTCTTCCTTTGGTCCAAAAACTATGACTTCAGTTTAGTTTGCTTCATGTGATGAACATTTAGTTCATTCATGTGTTGATTTCTGCTCTGCATTCACATAGAGCTGGAATGGGTTCATGGTCACCTGGTGGCATGGAGATGAACAGCTGGGTATCATCTGCATCGCTATGGTAACTGATGATGTCTTTGATCAGATTCAGGAGGAGCATGGAGATAATGAATAGAAGGGGCCCTAAGATGGAAACTTGGGGAACGCCACGTGAGATTTTTGGGGACTGCCCCGTCCTTCAAGTAGGATTGAAACCAGTCCAGGCTGACCCAGTTTTCCAAATGCATTTTTCCTCCTTTTTGTGAATGTAATACGCTTCTGTATGGATGAGCTCCTGCTCAGAGGTGCACTAAGTAAGAAATATAACAGGATATGTTGACCCTCTGTGATTCACATTCACAAGTTTGATGAGTTTGAATAAAACATTTATCTAGAGGTCAAAAATGAAAGAAATGCAACATTGGCTTTGACAAAAAATCTTTTTACTGGTGACATGGTGGTAATAAATCTAACACTGCAGAGCAAATCAAGCGGTAAAGCTTCATTTTTTTTCTCATTTATCACACCTGATTATCTGTTACAAAAGATGGTTTTAATTGTCCCAATTTGTCTTTCTTTTTCAATAGAATCTGAACAAGTTAGAAAAACAAACAAAAAAAGTACCAAGAACTTTCATTCTGTCATCAAAATGTGACCAGTCTTCCCTCCTGAGGGTCAGTAAGGGTGCAACAGGAAACCGGAGAAGATGCTGTAGCCGTTGGGACCCCCTGTCATCCCTCTCTGGTCTTTGGTCTCCAGCCAAACCTCCTGACCCTGGGAGAGGTAAACTGAAAGGCCTCCCGAAGTCACCTGGAACCAGTAAAGGCGTCAGTCTTACTGCATGTGCAAACACACTGAAACCTTACATCTGCACTGGACCTTTAAATAATTACTAAATAGAGTTTTGTATTACATTCCTTTGATTTTTTTATACCCAACAGAACAGATCAACCACAAAATAACTCCCGCTATTTCACCAAAATGACATCCCTTCCTGGAGAGCTACCCTCCTGCAACCTTTATATTCATACCTAATACCCCTTTGGAGCCATAGCACCCTGCCTTTATTATTTCCTGAATTAAAATGACATAAAAACAGCAAATGGAAGAGTCGCTCCATGTTCTGACCTGTTTCCTGCGACGAGGATCACAAAACGATGTCAGCAGGTTGTCATCCAGCTTCATCAACACGCAGAGTTTGTCTCCCAGAGTAGCATGAAAAACGAAGTAGTACATCCCAGGAACGCGACACCTGCAGCAAAACAACCCAACAGGGATCATCGCTGTGTAACAAGCTGAGGAAATCAGCTCAGAACCAGAGTTTAAACATTTCAGGACATTTTCTAAGCTGAGTAATGAAAAACTAAAAAACATGAAGCCATTTAGGGTCTGTTTATATTTTGGTCTTTAGATTTTTTTAAGTATTTTTTGTTTATTTATGCTTTTACATACAATGTAAAGACATAGCAATAGTTACACAGTTAACAATGTACCTTTAACAAATAAACATAATTGGGCTAGAACAAACCCCAATATACCCACATATATACTCCCACACGGAATACAAAAAAATAAATAGATAAAAACAACAAAAAAGGATCAAATGAGACGAACATCATGAGTAAGAGGACAGAAACGGATATATTAGAAGATAAATAATTAAAATACAAAGAACCACAGTATTAAAGCTATGTAAATCTTTTTCCACAGTCCATACAGACACTCAAGGGAGAAAAAAACAGTTTTCCTCAGGTGTCAGTGGACCCTGCTGTTGATATATCAGACAAACTTAACTCAACAAAGAAGTTAAAAGTGAGAAAAAAAAGATATTGATTAGAATAACACACAACAGCTACATACGTTTCACCTCGTCAGTCTGGAATATTAGGTAAATTAATCTTTCTAAGGACTTTTAATAAGGGGCTCCATAAACCCAGAAATCTCACAGAAGAGCCTCTTAAAGTAAGACGCATTTTGTCAAGTTTAATAATATAGTTTATCTCTGAGCCAGTGGATGTATGATGGAGGTTGAGGCGACTTCCATTTCGTTATAATCACTCTCTGTGCCAAAAAGGTCAGGAAAGCCAAGGAGCAATTCTGAAAAGACGACAAGGTGGGCTGTGGAGGTGCAACCCCAAAACAGAGCAGTCAATGGATCAGGCTCCGGTTTCATGCCATAAATGTCCAACAAAATGGCAAAAACTTTGGACCAATAGTTGGAGAGCTGAGGACAGAGCCAGGAAGTGTGGATTGAATTGGCTGGAGGATGTTGGTATTTATCAAAGGCAGGAAAAACGCTGGTGAAGAACTTGGCCAGACCTCCGATTTCTTTTCTTATAAAAACAGGTGTTAGGAAACATGAAACAAATACTCATATGATATTTTTCTTTTGAAATAAAAAGCTATAAATTAAGATAAAAAGCATTTCTCTCTATGTTACGAAGGAATAAGAACAAATAAAAAAATATTAGGAGGCTCCCTTGTTTTTTTATATATAAGAAAAAATTACTTTATAACAGAAACAGAGTAATGGCTGGATGTAGAATTGGGGCTGTTGTTTCTTTAGCCAAAAATAAAATGTCTTTCAAACTTTACTCAGCAATGATCTAAGACATGGCAAAACAACGCCTGTCAGCTACACACATTTCTGCACAGTTGCTGCATAAGTTAGTTTCAAGGCTCCGCCTGCCTTCCTGTTGTCCTCTGCCTTTCACGCCCTCACTTTCGGATTCTGCCCCCCCCGTAATGATCTTTCAACCAGAATTCCCCCCCACACCTTTGGATCTGTCAACCCTCATCCACCGCTCTGCTCGGTGTATGATGGAAGTTTGCCTTCTTCTCCTCTCTGGATATATTCTGCCTGCTGCAGGGTTTTAGTTGATTGTTTATTTGAGGAACCCCAAACAACATGGCTACCAAAATAACAAAATAACTGAACAATGGATATCTTATACTGAATATACAGTACTTACTTTTTGATCTCCATATTTAATTTTAACATTAGCTGGGTAGAATACTGCAATATATCTTGAAATTATAATTTGTGACAATATTGTATTGTGACCCAAGTATCACGGCAACCTTGCCAATACTCACCCCTATTATCAACAACACATCCCCTCAAGCTGTCACATTGATTGAAAAATGTTGAGGTTTGTCTGTTCTTAGCCTCAAAGGCTCCAAACGAAGGTAATGAGAGATAAGAATGAGTCACACAGCTTCCTTCATGGCATGAAGGGGAGGACTGTTGTTTTTAGGAGATCCATCTGACCAATGAAAGATAGATTAACCTAACAGCGAACAGCCTTGATGAACTCAAGTTGTTTCTCCTCCAAATGTTCAAGTGTGAGAAAGTTCTTTATGCAGGGGGTGGGTTGGTTCCCCTAGGGGAGTATACTAGTGTAAATTTTAAACTTTTTTTTTTTTTGTGTGCAAGAAATGCCTCTGTCTCAACTTCCTAACTTCACACGGTGCAGCAATCTCTCATACCTGAAGTGTCCCGTTTCTGTGTTGTAGTCATCCTGGATGTTAGTGATGACTTTGGTGAACCGGATGGTGCTGGCTTTGTCAGGAAATTCAGATGTCATTCTGGCCACACTGAAGGCTGCCATTGGTTGAGCTGCAGAGGACCTGCAGCCAAAGAAAAACAGAGCAGTTCTGGGTCTGAAGCTGAGACATCAGTCTTTTTAAAATAAAAACAACTAATGGTGGAACGCAATCGAAGAATATTTAATCAAGTTGATTGCAGGGTCTGTTATTTAGTAACCGCATTTAAATCAAAAACCATAAGTTGACAAAATAAAGCTCCTGTTTAAAGTTGTAGGGAAGCGGCTGTTCCAACCGTTGGCGTTTCAAATTCTCCTGAGTGGTGCACGACTTTACAATGACCAATGAATTTACAATGACCTGCCTCAATTATAATTTATTCCTCTCACCTGTTTCCTCTTGGTTATATTCAGTTCAGCCTGAGCATTCAGTGCCAGATCATTACTTGTCTTTCTGTTAGTCTGTTTGTTCAGTTTTTGCCTTGGTTCATGTCGTGGATCCTGGCAGCCAGTGAAAAGAGGGGTTTAGTGTTTGTCTCGTCTCCTGATCGTCCACAGTTCCTCCCCCACTGAGTCCTCTGGGTTTTTGGCTCTATATGTGGGGAGGTTCAGTTTTTATCTCAGTTAGCCTGGCTCCAGGGAGGAGACCAGTTTAAAGTCCTGCATCAAGTTCTGGTTCCACATCCTGTCTCGGCTACCGTCTTCCACTGAGCCTGCTCATCTGCCCCTGATCCTGTCTGCTCCTGTGCGTGACCGTCTGGTCATGCTTCAGAACTCTGTCAGACTCTGAACCTGTCCCGGAGTTCTGTTATTGCCTGGAAGCCTGGATCCTGCCACCTCTTCTGTTCCTGCCTTTTCTGCAACCTGTTCTGTCGGTTCCTGCCTGATCGGTATCCCTGATCAGGATCCGCTTCCTGCAACTCCTCTGGAGCTGCAGCACCGGGGACACTCTGGGTGACGCGAGCCGCGTCAGCTGTCAGCCCATCGGCTGGATTGCACCCCTCTCAAGGGTTATGGACTGAACTGCTAAACCAGGTAAATGACTCACTGAGAACATCATCTTCAGTCAGATGATCATGGTCACTTACCTGTGTTTCTCCCTTAGAGTGTCTGAGATTGGGCGGTGCCCCGCCCCCCTCCTGAAGTGTCCGTGAGCCTCAGCTCCACTTCAGTTTTTGTTTTATTTTAATAAACTTTTTGAACTTTCCTACTGGCTGTCTCTCCTTGAATACTGGGTCCTTCTGTCCGCCCAACATGACAGCTACAGTACATAGACAATCGTTGAGCACTAGGACCAAGCGAAAAACCCTTTGACATTCTGCTATATCTGTGTTAATTGTGTTTTGGTGCTTGCTGTGTCCATAAAATGAACTCGGTGGTTAAATTTTGGAGAATCTAAGATTTCCAACGATGTCTAACATGTCTATACTGGTAAACATTTTACTGATGTGATTTTCATGCATTCTGAGTTATTAGTTGTAAACTCTTTAAAATGGGTCACCAGAGATCTGTTGAGTTTTGAGAAGCTAGAAGGGTTGTATTATCAGATGTATTAATTTACACAAATCTTTGAATTGGTGTCATGTGAGTGCATGTTCTTGTGTTTGGTATTAGACTCGCAGCCAGAATGCCTGAAAAAAAAATTCTTTAAAGGTGTCAGGAGAGGGATCGCAGAGATGCAAGAGAGAAATAAACACAGAGGGTCTGCGCTGAACTTATATATAAGATATATATAAAAAAATACATATCCCCCCTAACATCTGAAATAAAAATGTGTCCATGGGCAATCTGATCAGTTTTAATAAACAGAAAGTAAAGGTGGAAATATCAAAAACAGACAGAGGCTTTAATGAATGTGTTGCTATTGGGGAAGTTGAGTATTTACTTCTTCATGTCAGCTAGTAGTAGCTATGTTACCTGCTAACCAGGGAGAGAAGTGCAATTCTAATTGTGTGTTGTGGTCTTTAACTGGAACCTCAGTGGGCCAGTCTTTCATATCTAAACCGTGTTGAACTATTGTAAGGTTGCTGGAGACAGTTTATGTCGGCCATCTTTTTTAAAACCAAAGTGCATGTCTGTCTGGTGTTGTACCAAGCTTCTCCCGGCTCCCCTGGAGGCCCAGGAATCCCTTCAGGGCCTGGTTCTCCTGGTTCTCCTGATGGGCCACGCTTGCCAGGAGGTCCACTTTGCCCTGGATCACCCTTCATGCCCTTCTGAAACCCGGACCCATAGCTCCTTTCTTCTCCTTGGAAAACACAGCAGAGAGGGGATCTTTTTAGTTTTTTATGGAACCTGACCTTCTGTATTGCTTCTGCTCTGTTGCTCATTTGATTAATATATTTTACAATCAATAATTACAGTAATATTAAACCAACAACAATAACAAAAAAGATTTTTTCTTGGTTTTTTGGGTGTTAAGATCTAACCCTTCTAGCTTCTTTGCTTCTTTGCTTAGTTTGGTGGTTTATTCCTGCGTTCTTTAGTTCTTCTTTTGGGTTTGGTATCTTTTTTTTTCTCTTTCATTAAGAGTTTTCTTGTGGTCAGTTCAACTCCTTCTTATTTCGGCTACATTCACACTGTAGCCTGAAGTGACCCAAATCCAATTTTTTTTGCCCCTATGCGACCTGGATCTGATGTTTTCATGACATAAAACATTATGTTTATGTCTTTTCTGAACAACACAGATCCGATTTTTTCCAATGCGATCCTTTCCACTTGGCTCTATGGTCTAGAATCCGATACGAATCTGATCTTTTCAAATGCGAGCTGTGTCTGAACTGTCAGGCCACATTCATCCGACCTGAATGCCATTAGTATTCGACATAGGTCACTATTCTGCGTCTTGCTAAGCAGAAGCGGCAAGAAAAACAACAACCGTGGCGGACGATGATGCAGAGAGTAGTATTTATGTTTAACCATCTTGAAAAGATAGATTTTTATCGCTATGCACTCCAACACTTCCATCCATGTTTACTTCCGTAAACTAGAGCATGCTGGCTTGTGACTCTACTGCAAACACTTGTGTTGCGTTGTATGAATGCAGTTCACACAGGAGATCACGTACAATTCACATACATTTGGAAATGTGAACAGCAACGCAAATAAATCAGATTTCACCAAAAAAAAATCGCAATTGAGCATTAATGCCTCCTCCCCCTTCTTATGTTCTGCCTCAGAGACGCCATCTTGTTTCCTTATTAACACACAGGATTTCTACATCATTCTGCACACCTCCCTCATCTTCACTGTTCTTCATTGGATCCTTTCTTTACGCTGCTGGTCACCATGTCCATTACTACCCATATTTATACTGCTCCATTTTCTGCTCTCTTTTGTTGTATTTTTGCCTTTATACCATTTTGCCTTTTTTTTTTTTTTTTTTACACCATCTTGGTTATTTACACAAAATAACATTTATTTTTCTTAAAGGTGACGGCTGCAAGTTTTTCTGCCCCCAGCCAGTAAGTGGTGCGTTCATGCTCACCCGCTCACCACCAGCCATTGGCTGAGTCCTCTAATGCAGAAGAAAAGAGGAAACCTCTGCTTTCTGTGGATTTTTTTTTATCAGTAACTGGAAATTAGTGGAAAAATTTTCTCCTATTAATTTAAAAAATGTCAGCAATTAGCTTGAATAAAAAAGATCTACATCTCTGCATGTTTTTGTATACAGACCCGCCCCCTACTACAATAACAAAAAGATAAATCTTGTGCATCCAACTGCCTTCAAAAGGCTCCCTTTCATCAATAGAATACACCAAGGTGCAGTTTAATCTCACCCTAAAGCAGCTCTGTGCCTTGCCTCAGAGGTTTATGAGTGAATATTAGAGAAAAAAAACTGCATCATGAAGACCAAGGAGCACAGCTTTCCAAAAAAGTAAAAAAAAAATCCACTTGACTTTGTTTCCAAGTTTGAAGACGTTTCACTTCCCGTCCAGGAAATTTTTTCAATTCAAAATGTCAGAAATAGCGCTGAGTTCCAGGTTTTATCCAGCGGCAGAACAAAGCCTTGTTTTTGTTTAGAAAACATGCAAATATAAACGGACGAACGGGTCCACAGGGCTGCCAACTTTTCAGAGAACCTTGGGGTTAGATGAGAATAGGAACAGCTATAGGTTGGACGTTTTAAGAGGATTTAACTGAAACAAAGTGGCAAAAAGTAGAATTTTATAGCACAGTAAATGTTTCTGAGTAACAATAAGTGGTCTCTAGTTATGTGGAACATTTTCCTCACAATATACATAATTTTCTATATTCTGGTGATTTTTAGAGAATTGAAATAAAGCAGAAAGGGCCCTATTAAAATACTTGCATCTTAAATATACTTTAAACTAAGAATCACAACTTTGTGAAATTATTATTACATTATTATAATTATTATTAAATTAATGTAAATTAAACAATGGGGAACTAGTAAACTATTACTGGATTACTGGGACTGATACAGGAACCACTGCAATCAAAACCTATGCAAACGACACTGTGTATGTATATTGGTAATAGGCTAAGGATTAAAAAGCTTAATTCATTATGTTATTAGTTTTTCTTACAATTCCCAAAACAGCTAAACAATTCAGACCTTCTAGGAGGCCGGAGATTTTATAAAAACTCACCATGACAGGAGACAGTTCTTCTCTGGATGTTTCAGTTTGGAAGGTGTGGTGGAAATTATGTTTTTAAATATATTCATTGGACCAAAATAAAGATAAATGAATAAGATAAGTGATAATAAAATGAGAACATCCCTGTGGTTCCTCCTCTATGAATCCAGGATAACTGAGCTGTTCTGCACATCCTCTCTGGATGCGATTGGTCTTTTCTTGGGTGGCTGATCTTTTGATAAATAAAATGCAATGGTTCTTTTTCTTGTTGTGGAGCTCTTATGGGTTTGAGAGACAAACATGAACGTTTTAAGAATTAAAATATTTGTGTTGGGTTAATTACTTCTAAATGCCAACAGGAGATTATTAAACTAGACCGAGCAATAATTCTTGAACTTGTGAGCAAAACATGGCCTAAAAAGGCAGCAGGTAAAGAGAAAACAAACCATTGGATGTGATCCTACACTCAGTCTCCACATCAATAATTTCTGCTAGCTACTGTATTTTTTTTTCATATTTACTCAAGTACTAGATTGCTTAAAATCTTCAATAATTTACAAAGAGAATATT